TAAATTATCCACGTGTGGTGTGTCACAGGACATATGATGACACTTTAAATGTTTATTAGGGACATACTTCTTACAGCTATCATCAATATCCTATCTTAACACATGAACTATATGAACACACATATCCTACACTACTGCACCATATCCTAGGGATTATGGCCCAAGAGCTTCTACAACTCTTGAAAATCTCTGTAAAAAAAAGTAGACAAGGGAAAATTAAAGAAGAAACAAACAAAATATCCCCAGAGGATGCTAAGAGAGGCAGAAAGAGAACAGAGCAGACTACCAGATGGGACAGAAGGAAGAAATACGGAGGCCAAAGTGCCCATATTAACTACACCTATAGCACAAAACTGAGGTAAGTGTTTCATGCATAAGGCCTCTTCAGGTTGTTTTTCAGATTCTTGTTCTGAAGTCTGAATAAGATGACATTACAGATACTGTATGTCAAAATCTTCAAAGACAAGCCAGGTGTGGTGGCGCACGCCTCTAATCCCAGCATTTGGGAGGCTGAGCCAGGAGGATCGTTGTGAGCTCGAGATCAGCCTGGGCTACAAAGTAAAGTAAGCTCAAGGCCAGCCTGAACTGCATTGCGAGACCCTGTCTCAAAAAGACCAAAAAAACCCTTCAAAGAGTCGCTTTCAGATATTTCCAAAATAAGGAGGGACAGTAATGACAAATGAAGAGCCAGAGTGTTTGAAAACCTCATTAAGATAAATTACATATATGGAGAGGAACATCTGCTGTCCCTCTGCAATGAGGATTCTTGAGACGGAGGTTACACTGAAGACAAAGGAAGACACAATGAGGACCAGGCAGCCATTGGGATCTCACACACGGCGAGTAGGATTTCTCTCTACAATTCAACTTCTTGTAAAATTATGTGGCAGAGAAAACCTTGAACTATATTAGATTCACAAGAGGCAAGGTGGAAAACTACTATTTTCAATAAAATGCTATAGCTAAACATGCCTGTACAAAGTTCCAAGGAAGACACAGTCCTAAGGGCTACTGTGCATATTATAACACAGGGTAATGAAGAGGGACACACAGTAGACTTACCCCATAACCAGGAAGAAGAGTGGAATATGGCAAAAGCTGAAGAACTTGTGATTAGCTCATGACACACATGTGACACAGCAGTGCAGCCACAGCAGGTTGATAAGCTGATTACCACACTGAACACAATTTTAAAGATGGAGAAAGCAGACAAGAGGGACATGGATGTGTGTGGTGTGCACTCATTTCAGACAGAACCCTGATGGGCAGATTCCCCAGCAGTGTAAATAGACAAATCAGCAGGTATGGCAGAAGAGCTGGCTGGAGCTGTCATGGGAAGGCCAAGGAGACAAACAGGATGAACTGCAACCATGTGCAATAGTTCTGAACAAGCGTGGTTATTGTACATGCTGACATCCAAAACAAGAAGACACAATGGTGAAAATACATGCTCTGGTACAGCTCAAATGGCAGCTTAGTTCTATGCTACTAAACAACTTAAAAACAATTACTCTGTCTTTTTCCTCATCTATTCAAAAATTATCAACTTAAAATTCACCACAGAGGTAGAGTAAAACAAGACATATGTAGCAACTACTTGGGTTCTCTTAACACCATCTACAGAAAAGGACATAAATTTGGAGTCACTGCTGACAGTAACAGATGATCAGGTTATAATACATCTCTCAGTGCACATGTTCTAGGAAATATATATTTGTGTTTCATAAAACATTTTCCCTGAGGGTCTTTGTCTTTTCTTGATTATTTAGAATGTATTTATTTGTACTTACTTTCACTCTGTGTTACTGTTATTCACTGCAGACATCATATTTACTATTGTATAGAAAATGAAACAAGCTGGGTATGGTGCTACATTTGCAAACCCAGCTTGTAAGAGACTTTAAAGCAATAGGATTACAATTTCAAGGTCAAACAGAGTAACTAAGTAGAAGTGTATATTGCTAGGTAACCAGCATAAAACTAGAAATATATTTAAGAAATTTCTTGAATTCAATTATTAAACAGTAAAAATAGCCAAATTATTCCTCCTGAATTATTCCTCCTTAATTAATCCTCCTTCAAGTAGAAGACTGAAGTTGCCAATTTTAACAAACTTCAGGAATTATTCACTCTAACGCACTTAGTAACATTTAGACACTACATGATGGGCACATTTAAAAAGTTTATGCTGCAGAGAATATGTATGTTTTTACAAAAAATACGCAACTTCTATAAAAACATTCTGCTAGGACATATGAAAACTTTCATCAGTTACAAAATATGAATATTATATAGGTTGTAATCAAAACAGAAATTATAGAGGATGAATAGCTTTAAAAACTCTATGTTCTCTCTTCTCAGTATGATGGTGGAAGGACCCTAGAGTTTTAGTCACACAAAGCCTGTACTTTACCATAGAACTGCATTTCCATTCCAGTTGTGTGGTTTTGATGCACAGTACATTATTAAAAGACCTGTTGTTTCAATGGAAAACTAGGAAATAAATTTAGAAATACAGAATACGGTGATAATTTTGGTATAAAATGTCAAGTTTGAAATAAATTATTTCATTTAAATATGTAGTATGTAAAAAATATATTTAGCAATATACTTCATCAAAACTATACAATCAATAATTAATGAGGGAGGAATCCATATATGGAAAAGATGAACAAGATAAGGAGTAATAATAAGAAAAATGTACTAGCAAAACACTAAATGAAAATGAGAAATAATTACAAAGGTTATGGATACCTTAAATTTTGAGAAAAGTTCTCACTATGTGTCCCGGGAGGCCATGAACTTTTGATCTTGCGTTAGCCTTTGACTCCTGTGATTACAGGTGCATACTACTGTACCAGTCTAGGCAATGATAGAGTAAGAGATAAAAACAAAAATCATGATTTCATGAATTTTAAACAGGTAAATTCTTAGAAATATATAAAATTTCAAATCTAGTAATAGAAGACAATAGATGCTGGAAAATCAAACAAGTTGTCAAGCAACAAAAGGGTCAATGAAAAACTTCCCTGCATAAATTCATCTTCCAGTGGGTTTAAAAGTGACCCATTAAAACTTTTAAGATATTGATCAGTTTGTGTTATGTCTATGTGCCAATCCCCCATGATAAATGTATTTATTATATATTACAAACATACACTAGTACTTATAATAAAAATAAGATATACTCAACTAGGCATGTTTTCACATGTATGTAATCCAAGAAAGAAAAGGTAAAGAACCTCTCTAGCACATTTCACCAGATTAATGCAATCTTTACCTAAAACAGATAAATGTTAAAAACATTACCTAATCAAACCTAAGGGTGTGATGGAAAGTAGTTTCTCTTGTTGGCATATACCTAGCTGATATTGTGGGTGCTTAACTTGTGTGATGTCCCAGATTCAATCCACAGTACCCCCCCCACACACACACACACAGCAAAGATAAGGATGGTGCAGCATCAGAAACCTTCCGTGAAATTCATCACAAAAATCAACAATGGAAAACATCTGATTATTTGAATCTTGGCATAGATGTATTTTCTAAAATTCAATTCCTATTACTTATTTACTAAAGGACACTAAAGACAAAAATTAAAAGATGTTAATAAGTAGAAAAAGTACATATACCATAATAGTAGCACATGGGCCCCTAAACAGAGACACTATACAGCTATTATTTTAAAATCAGAAATGCATATATTCACTCTCTCCAATATTCAGTCACACAAAACCAAAATTCACATGTCATGTTACAAGGCAAAACCAGAAAAGTGACATAAAGATTGAAATGAGAGAAAAAAAAAAGTGCTACCATGACTGAGTAACGAATCCAGATGTCATTTTTTAGGAGACAGGGAGACCTATGCGACCAAACACAGGATCAACTGGAATCATAGTGATTCTCATAATCTTAATACTCATTAAACTATGTCAATAGAGTAAAGCTCAGTGATAGCCAAGAACACAGATTATAAAGAAAGACCCCTGAAACATACTGCTCTCAAGGTCAATTTAGTCTAAGAAGAAATACAATTTTTTTTATGTAGAAGTAAAATGCAAAAAAAGTCCATTAAGTATTTTCCTATCAATAGAATCAAAAAGTACAAGGATATACACCTATAACGTGTGGTAGATTGACAACTGTGGTCAACTTGTAACACTCAGCTGAACTGAATCAGTGTGGTACTAGGTATGAGAAGGCCTACCTGAGGATTGTTGCCAACACATAAAAATGAAAACTGGAGAAGAAGAAAAGCTGAAAGGGAGCTGTTGGTTCTCCTGGAGGAGTTTGTTATGCTGGCTTTCACGATATGAACTCAGCTGTTCTCACTGTTGAAGGAGCTCAGGACCTTGTCGCTGAGAATGGCTACAGTTCACTTTGGGGGAACTCTGGTCCTTACTTTGAGCATCGCTTCC